CAGCTTCCCCCTCAGCAGCACCGGTCTGATGGTGTTAAAAGCACTGGAGAAGTCAAAGAACATGCCTCTCACAGCGCTCCCAGTCGTCTCCAGGTGGGTGAGCGCCCACTGCTGCAGGTAGATGATGGCGTAATCTACTCTGATGTTGGGCCGGTGGGCAAAATGCAGCGGGTCCAGGGTGGGGCTCACCACGGTGCGAAGGTGGGCGGGGACGAGGTGCTCCATGGTCTTCATCAGGTGAAATGTCAGGGTGACTGGTCTGAAGTGGGCCGGATCCCTGGCGTGTGGCATTTTGGGAACCGGAACCACACAGGAGGTCTTCCACAGGGTGGGGACCACCCCCAGGCTGAGGCTCAGGTTGTACATGTAGCTGAGGACCTGACAGAGCTCATCTGCACAGGTCCTCAGCAGCCTGGGGGGGAGGCCCTCTGGTCCTGAGGCTTTCCTCTGTTTCAGCCTCATCAGCTGCCCTCTCACCTGCATTGGTGTTACTGTGAGGGGGGAGGAAGGCATGACTGAAGGTGTTAATGGGTAGGCGGTTGGTGGGAGTGGCGGCGGTGGGCAGGGAAGGTCTCTGGGTGGCTGGTGGTTGGAGGTGTGTGGAGAGTTGAGGGCAGTTGAGGGCACGGAGGGGACCGGTGTCTCTGGAGGGGGCACGGAGGGGACCGGTGTCTCTGGGTGGCTGGTGGTTGGAGGTGTGTGGAGAGTTGAGGGCAGTTGAGGGGACCGGTGTGTGGGGAGTCAAACCCCGTGAAGAAGCTGTTTAAAGCTGTTTAACTCATCTCAAAGAGATTTCGATTAATCTGATGCAATAATAGGAGGCAACTTTACAGGGGGTTTAACTTTATAACTCATGGTAGCCCGGGATGTCTCACTTTAGTTACGCAACTAGCTGGTAGCCACGGCCCTCATGTTGCAGATTCTCTGCGGCTCTTTCCTTGTCTCCATCTCAGGCTTCAAGCAGCTTCTAATGGCTCCTTCGGCAAACAGCAATTGGGGCCCGCTGTTGCTCTTTTGCCGGTTAGATTTAGGTTACCAGAACTGGATTAGCTGCTGCAGGTGTTTTCAGGAAACGTGTTCAACTCGGTTTGGATCGCAGGACGAAAAACAAAAAAAATTACATTCAGCGCCATCTGAATTGTAGGAAAAAGGTAGTCTGACTTGGTCCAGCAAACACAGACCTCTCCAGAGGGATTTAATCGCTACTTAGCATAGCCTTCAGCCAGACATGGGCAATGTGGAGTCAACAAGTCATCTCCATGTCATGTATTTAATCTACCCAGCCAATTAACCAGGTGAGTCCAATCTGCACAGGTTAATTCATGTTGAAGATTGGACTCACCTGCTTCAGTGGCTGGGTAGAACAAATACATGACATGGAGATGACTTTTTGACTCCACATTGCCCATGTCTGCCTTCAGCTGAGAACGCTGAAACTGATGGATGATAAACATTCTCTTGAAAAGGTTTTATTTTTCATGCATGTACATTGATGTAGAAGCTAAATTCGTGGAATGGTGCTGACACAGCATTTGCAATATTTTACACTTGTCTCTCCTCTGCTATGCTCTGTAGTCTAGTAGACGCTATGGGACAAAGTGGGGTACAGAAGGCAAGCCAACATAACTACTTGTAACTACATGTAAAACAAAATTCTGTTTCCAGAATTTTCAATGCCTCTTTGTGTCATTGAAGAGTAATAGTAATTTTGAACCTTCACTTTCATCTCATGTAATATATCTTATTTTCTCTACATATTTCTACTGCTCCCATTTAAATCAATGCAATAATACTTTATTAATCTCAAAGGGAAATTCCATTTCTGTAAGAAAGTTTCAAGAAAGTTGACAATGAGGCCAAAAGTCAAATCTTAGAAACCAAAGCGTAGTATGCATCATAGAGGTAAAATACAGCCTGATGCATAAAAGATGCATAAAAACTCACATTTAATTCACATAAAAATTCATATTTTTATAATAAGAGAATCGAGTTGTGCAAAAAAATAATGAAGTCTGTTGAAAAATAAAAAATAAATAAAAAATAGTCCATATCTTATATATTAGTTTCATTGAAAAAAGAAATACAAGTTTATATAACTGCAGCTGCGTGATACTTCAAAGATTGCAATGACGTTAAGAAAGCTGTTAGTGCTGTATCATAAACATTTTATACCCACTCTTCAACTGTTTACAGTAAAACAGATTAGCTCTGTTGGTAACATCAATGATTGAGCAGAATAAAAACAACCACAAAGTTTTTATTACAGTTCACACCAGACAAAAGCCAAACGATTGTCAGTCAAACTAACCTTTGCCTGTATTAAAAAACTGTCTTTAGGCAAGAATTTTATGGTAAAAATCACAATAAAAATAAACAGTCATGCAATGGTTAACACAAAATTTTCCAATTACCAGTGAAGTGAAGAATCCCTAGACTTAGAGCCACACTCAACTGCTTTCGACCATTGATCTAATCTCTTTCTTAAATGATTTGTTAGCTTTACAAAGAATGATACACACAAGAAACAGAAGTCTCACCTTTGAATATTAATTTTGGTGGCGGTAACTGATAAAAAAAAACCTTGTTTTCTTTTTATCAGATCTCTCCTGTGTCATGTGTTTTCTTTATCTTTAAATACTGAGCTTAAAGTGTAACTAACGCCATAAACCACTTTCTGGTTTATGGGGTCCTATTTTGATTTTACTGTGCATGTTTTAACTTTTTCTTTGCAATATCTTAAAAATGAATCCCAAGACCAGCTCAATGCTACCGAAGTGGTTACAGGGATTCTTTGCTGCTGAACTTGCCAATTGGTTTTAACAGACTGTTACACACCTATGACCTTAGACATATTTCTCCTTTGCAAGCCATCCTTTCCTCTGCAGCTCTCAGCATTGCTGAGTCAGCACATTGAAGCCAGCAGCTCAAAATAATAAAGCTCCAACCCATAGCCATTGTCACCCATTTTGGTGACAATAGGGGGTGAAAAATCCTCGACCTCAAAAGTTCTATGCAAGGCGTAAGTACCAGCATGTCATGATCTGGCCTGTTTGCTCCTCCCTAATTAGTAATTCCTCTCACCTGCCGTTTTCCCTCCCTGCCTTAATTACAATTTATTCCCCTCACCTGTTTCCTCTGGTTTAAATTCCCTTCAGCCTGAGCATTCAGTGCCAGATCATTACTTATCTTTCTGTTAGTCTGTCTGTTTAGTTTTTTGTCAGGGTTCATGTCCTGGATCCTACTGTAGCAGCCCGTGGAAAGAGGGTTTTAGTGTTTGCCTCGTCTCCTGATCGTCCACTGTTCCTCCCCCGCGGAGTCCTCTGGGTTTTTGGCTCAATATGTGGGGAGGTTCAGTTTTTATCCAGTAAGCCTGGCTGCGGGGAGGAGACCAGTTTAAAGTCCTGCTTCAAGTTCCGGTTCCACGTCCAGTCTCAGCTACCCTCTTCCACTGTGCCTGCCTGTCTGCACCTGATCCTGTCTGCTCCTGTGCGTGACCACCTGGTCATGCTTCTGGTCCCAGTCAGACTCTGGAAGTCTGGATCCTGCCACCTGTTTCTGTTCCTGCCTGATCTGGATCTTGCCTGTTCTCTGTTCCTGTCTGTTCTGGATCCCTGACCAGGATCGGCTTCCAGCAAGACCTCTGGGACTGCAGCAGTTGGGGACATTCTTGGTCTGGACTGTTAAACCAGAGTGTCTGAGATTGGGCGGACTGTCTCTCCTTGAATACTGGGTCCCTCTGTCCTCAGTTCATGACACAGCATCCCTTTGCTCATTGTCCATGTTTTAGCCAAGGTAGATTACACACTAAGCAGGGATGTGCCCTTGGCAATAATTAGAAAAAAGTGCTCAAATCACATGTTTAAGTAGGATATAGAAGTGTATTTTCAAGGGATAGTGTTTTCACAAAAACAATCAATCAGATAACTATTTTTCTCCATTTTTTGTTGTACACATTTTTGTGTTTATTGTGTTCTTTCTCTTAAATACTTGATTTCTGTATTGTTAATTTTCTCCTCTGTAAAAACTCAGTATTCTGCACTGCTGTGTTTAGTTCACCTGCTGTTTGATATTTTATCCTGCTTTTGAGCCACGTTATCGCTGCTTTTTTGTGTTGGTATTGTTTTAGTTTATGTTCGACCTGCTGAATGTTTGGCTTCTGTTTTTTCTCTTAGTCTCAAAGGTAAACTACAGGTCTTTCATTAAGCTGAGGGTTAATAACAGATCCTTCTCAATAATCACTCGTAAGAAGTTCTCAGTTTGCCATGGTTATTTCTTCAACCTTCTATTACCCCAATATTAATGTCATATTTATCAACCGATCTCCCTCAATCAGAAATGTATTGACCTATCACACTAATTGCAGCACATTAGTATTTTTACTGAGCTTGGTTCTGTTGAATGGCTTTTCTTGATCTCTCTATCTTCTGTCTATAAGTGGCTGTTTCGGATGAGAGATTGTTGCAAAGGCAGTGACTAACTAAAGAGTTCATAAAAGAAGGTGATTATTATGATTGAAGTCAATCACCCAAACTGGTAAGCACCCAACTGAACTGGATTCATTGTAATATTAGCTGGATATGTTAAGTTTGGAGCTTTAAAATAAGCTAATTGGGACACACATCATAACAGTCACAGTTAATTGATTTTATTTTTAAAAAAACTTTTTATAATACAGTCTCCGGGTAAAGTCAGAAACAAAAAGGCAACCATATAGACACAAAAACACAGAGGAACTAAAGAATAGATAACATTTACGTGGTTCTATGTGTTCATTTAAACTGCTATTTCTATTAGGTTTTAAGTTAAATAACATATAATTTCACATGCAAATAATTGTTTTAAATCACAGATCTTAGGAAAGTAGCTCTGCAAAGTTTTTTTTAGTATACAGATATTCCACACTATCAAAGAAATAAAATGTATAAGGAAAAAATTCAGATATACATAAAGATATGCATGAAATACAATCTCCTATACAGTCAAAAAATATTTTGAGATTTTTAATTAGTCATGAAATCGAGCTCAATTGATGATGTTAAATCAGAATCTAGGTCTTTTCCTTCTATGGTCATTTCTGTGAAGCCAAACTTTATGTTTAGTTTAAGTTCCCGATTCATACCACGCTTGGTGTTTGGAGAGTGTAGAAAGAAGCAGCCAATCTTCACCATTCCCTCCTCATCCACATATATTGGACTTGTCTTTTTGGTGCAGTAAAAATTGTAGTTCATCATCCTCGTATGTGCCTCGGTCGGATATAAGGTGAAGGTTCTGGTTTCATCCCAATCCACATCCTCATCGGCCTCCACCAGTTTCATGAACAGATCCCTGCACCATTCACCCTCTTTGTTGGTGAATTTTTTTTCTGCCTTGTGCTTGAACTTGTCAAACCTTCGAGATACTCTGACTCCGTAAGTGAAAGCACTTTTCCGAGACGCCACCAAGTGTGGCTTTCTGCCGAACTCTACAGCTCCTTTTAGGATTGCTTCCTGTGGCCTAACTGGACACAGAATTTTACACTTAACCCCAAACTTATCATCAATATGTTTTCGCAGAATCTTGCTCTCAGCAAAGCCCCCTACTAATAAAATGTACTTAATGTTTAGGGCTTTGGTAAGGATTTCTTTGAGACTTTGAGTGATACCCTGCAGACTCTCTGTAAAGAATGAGTTTAGTTTCTCTTTAGTGATGGTTATACATCCTTCATCCCAGGAAGCTCCTTCTACCCTTTCAAAGTACTTCTCCATTGCCTTCTTATCCTGAGCAATCTTCCCAAGGCTATAAGGACAGCTAATGTCCACATCATCATTTTGTTTTTTGAAAAGTGTGAAATCATACACAATCTTTTTGACATCATTGGGATGGTTTTTTTCAAACTCATCCCAGACTCCATTACAGAATATCTTTCTAAGAAACTCTTTAAATCTTCGGTCCACAATTTGTCCTCCCAGATTGTTTCCAGAGGCCTTATGAAGCTCTTTTAATGCTCCTCCTTTCAGGACTTCGTGAACTGTGATGTCAATGGTTCCTCCTAAAATGCAGAGTGGAAAAAAGTGAACAAGCAAAACTAACTGCACTACCAGCATAAAAATGTTCCTTAAGGCAAAAAAAAGCTGTAGCTGGGAGATGACCAGTTAATGATTAACTATCTGCGTGATATCTGCAGCACCACATTTCTTACATTTTTTAAAAGTGCTATGGTTCTTCCCTTTTGGACTTTGAGTTTTCAGTTTTCAGTTATCTCTGTCTTTCGGGTTTGTTGATCTTTGATTTATTTGCCACTTTGTAATAAATGTAAGCTGTTTTGCGCACTCTACAGTACAGGACTTATTTTCTAATTTTTTAAATTCTGTTACTTATTCTGTTATTTTTATACTCATTCTAAGGTCCACATTGTGTGACCACTTCTGCTATAACCTGTTGCTGCTGTAACAGTACAATTTCGCTTTCGTTGTAGAAAATAAAGGGAGTTTCAATTTATTTTTTGAGTTACTCTCTATTGCCCCCTTGTGCCTGTCTTTTTTCCCTTGCTCCCTTCTAGTTACTTCTATCCACACCTGCTCCATATCAGCTCATTAGTCCATTCTTTGTTCTGTTCCCCATATATGTACAGTACCACCTCTGTAATTCCTCATTGCTGGTTTCTTGTCCTTAGTTGGCTCTTCATGTTTGTTTTCCCTTGCATTTGGGTCCTTGACCAACCTCACGTTGACATAAAGTATTTAAACCTAAATCTAATACATATTTGACAGTCAATCCTTTAGAAAAAAAATATTCTCTAAACTTTCTACTAAAAAAAATTTGTGTTTGGACAAAACTAAAATAGGTGCTTAAGCTATTTTTTTTTAAATAAAACTGTTTACATAAAACAAATCTTCATGTGAAATCTTCTAGTTACAAAAATACATTTAAAATGTCTCTGCAATGCAACAGTACATAAGCAAAAAATAAATTATAAATCAATACCTCCACAGTCAACAACAATATATTGTGTTCCTGGAGATTGTTCTAGTTTGGTTTGCCCTTGGTGTTCTGCTATGAAACCTTCAGCTGGCAGCTGCTTACACCAGAGAGATGCTGCTTCTGGTTCCAGAGCAATGATAAGTTTTTCTTTATTTCTTTCTTCAACAATCCCTGCCTGGAATATTAACAAACACAGCATAAGAAAATGTTTCACAACTGTCCTTTCTTGATTAGATTTTTGAATATGTGTTACCTGTATTGCAGCTTCTCTCATGAACTGTTTAGCTGAAGGATCCCAGATGGCAGGAACTGTCAGCACCCAGGTGAAATCAGTGGCTATAAACTTTTTACCAGCTGCACTGTCATTGATGGTTTGTAATGCATCATCTTTCAGGAATCTGAGAGCTTCAGTAAAAACCTTAAGAGCTGGTAATGCATTTCCATTGGCTGCTTTGATTTTCAGATTCCTGTTGAAACTCTGGACAATAAAAAGCATGAAGTCAATCACGTCTGAGGCTGAATCCTTATCGTAACAACATACAGTGTGGAAGAAAACATCAACTACATGGAGTAACAATATTCATATATAGGATAAGGTGTTGTCCTTAAAAAAAAAAAAAGAAAAAAGAAATTTGTTTTACTTACTTTACCGTAGAGGGACATCTTGAAGCAGTCAAATAAGTAAGATTCTTTGGCTTGTTTTCCCTTCATTTTGAAATAGTCAGTTTGGGCTTTATACCCAAAACTGATCAATTCTTCCTTTTCATTGAAGAGGATACAAGTAGGAGTCTTTGGAGTTTGTTGACCAACATCTTCTCCCCACTTCTTTACATGGATATCACTTTTAGCTTCCTTGGCAGTCAAACTGAAGGCATGTCCACTATATGCAGTACCAAAATCTATTGCTATGACGAAAGAGTCCCCCATGTCTAATACATTCAAGCTGTTCAGCTTTGTGGCACCTAAATGCAGGAGTCACAGCACCTCTACTAATGTTAAAGGGTGGAGTCAGCAAGTCAACCTTTGACACCTAATCTGAAATTAAAAAAAAAGGTGTGACACTCTGTACACTCAGTGAGGACAAGACTGCACTAGAGGAAAGAGGATTACACACAGAGACAAGTAAAAGGTAAACTCACTCTCTGTAACTCTCTGTAAATCTGAAATGTGTTAATTGGCTATTATTTTATCTATTTGATTATTTTAAGTTAAAGAAAACGTAGCTTTACTTTACTAAGCCTTACTCCTGACCAGTTTGTTTGAATGTTTCACGAGGAAAATAAAATTGTCAGGCGGACCTTAAATCATTTTAATAGCAAATTCATTTTATATCAAACTGAACTTAAATTTTACCAAAATGTTCTCTAAGGATTTAGATGTTTAGGTTTATCTATTAACAGGTTTACATACAAACATCGAATATACGATTTTCCTCTTTGACATTTATTGTAAATTTTAGGCATTCATAGGGATTTTTCCTCTATTCTAATATTATTCCATAACTTAATTTAAGTAGTACATTAAGTGAAATTCAGAAAAACAGCTTCTAAAAATGATTCTTCACTGTGTCGTCATTCATCCAAAACGACTCACTTTTATCTGATCACATGTATGCAGGACTTTTCCTCAGCAAAATCCATGGAGCACAATTTTCTAAAGAACAGAAAAACAATAGATCCTGCAAACAGGTAAGTAGAAAAGAGCCAATAGGCCAAACTCTCACTGACCCTGTCATGTATATCAGGGACATTTACACGTAAATATTTAGAAGTGAAATAAAACTTGTGATGGGATGCACTGCACTGACCCTTTTTAAGTGTATGTTAAGTAATCCAGGATGTTTAATGATAAACTGGTGAGCCAGAATGGTAATGTGTAGCTCTCAAGTTTTGGTCACATTAATAATCTGGGACTGCTCTCATAAAATCATTTGAGGAAAAGGAGGGCCGCTCAGCTTTTGAGCTGATCAGGCAAAGCAATACTATTAGATGTGGGTCACCACCTCTTGCTTTCATCAGAGTTATATGTCATAATACTGCAGCGTGATGGGTCAAACTATTTTTCTTCAGAACTGAGCAATTTAGGCTGGTGTAGAACCAGATGGATATATCTTTGCTTAATAACTCCAAAAATAGTACAGCTTGCAGACAAGGTTAATAAATCAAAGCCTGTCCAAAATTTTTTATTATTTAAAGCAAGTGAAATTATCAATCACATACTGTACAAAGAAATCACAGGTTGCCCTAGTTGTTTATTAATGTACATAGTTCATTACCATATAAATACCACAATGGATTTAACCAGACATTTTGCGTTAATGTTGGCAATTTACTGTTTTGTATTTTACATATACTGTATTTACATTTTAATCTGTTACAAAAGACCACCACAGAATCTTGAAATTACTTTTTGCAAAAGATAAGGAATATAAAATGCATGATTTGTTTTTGCAGAGAACTTAGTCTCTTTACCAATCCTGGGTTAATCTTAAAAGGGCTATACCAAACTAAGCCCAGGTATAAGTATATATCATAAACAAGGTTCTGAGACTGGTTCACTGAAGTCTTGACTGGG